CCTTCAACCAATACGTGGATGTACCAACCAGGATCAACAAAACCATAGACTTGTGTTACGGCAGCATCCCTGGTGCATATACCTCCAGAGCTCTCCCACCGCTTGGTCGGGCAGACCACAACGTGATCCATCTACTTCCTGTTTACAAGCAGCAGCTGAAACAACACAGACCAGTGACGCACAGCGCACCCCAGTGGACGGAGGATGCCATTGCATGTCTCCAAGGCTGCTTTGCATGTACCGACTGGGAAGTCTTTGAGGGAGAGCTGGAGGAGCAAACTTCAGTCATCACAAGCTACATGAATTTCTGTATAGATACCCTGATACCAGTAAAAACTATAAGACCTTATCCCAATTCAAAACCTTGGATCACTCCAAAAATCCAACACCTGTTCAAAAAGAAGAATGATGCCTTCAGACAACAGAAGTCCACAACATTTAAGATTATTAACCGGGACATTAAAAATGAGATAATCAAGGCTAAGTTAAATTATAAACTCAAACTGGAACAGGAATTTGTAAATATGAACATAAAACAGGCCTTTCAGCGAGTCAGAACTCTCACAGGACAAGCTACCCAGCAGACCACCTGCGCATCATACCCCATAACCTTTGCTAACGACCTTAATCATTTTTATGCCAGATTTGACACATCTGATTTTTCAGCAGAGTGTGCCAGCCTCTTGGACTCCCTGCCCCACCAGGAGCTGGACTACGAGACCTTCCTGACACACCAGGATGTCCATCTCCAGCTCACCAAGTGCAAACCAAACAAGGCTCCTTGGCCGAATGGCATTCCAGGTCGGGTTCTGAAAAGCTGCGCCCTGGAATTAACCTCCGTCCTCCACCCCATCTTCAACCAATCCCTCTGTACCTCCACAGTCCCAGGTATATGGAAAACATCAACCATCATCCCTGTTCCAAAGAAGTCCCACCAATCAGAGCCAAATCACTACAGGCCTGTGTGTCTCACCTCCATCATAATAAAATGTTTTGAGAAAATGGTTCAAATTATCATCCTGCCTTATGTGTCCCCACTGCTAGACCCCTACCAGTTCGCATACAAACAAAGGAGAGGCACTGACAATGTGGTGGCCACTCTCCTGCACCATCTGCTTCAACACCTGGACTCCCCCCGTAACTATGCCAGACTACTCCTCGTTGATTTCAGTTCTGCCTCCAATACAATACATTGCCACCAGAAACTACAGTGCCTCCACGTTCCATCTCCACTAATACACTGGATCCACAGCTTCCTCTCTGACAGACCCCAGGCAGTGAGGGTCAGCCAGTCCCTGTCCTCCACCATCACGCTCAATACTGGTGCTCCGCAGGGGTGCGTGCTCAGCCCATTCCTCTACACCCTCTACACGAATGACTGTCAGAGTCAATCCCCCACCACACTTTATTTTAAATATGCAGATGACACAGCCATTCTTGCATTGCTGAACAATAACGACTCCTTCGCTGCCTACCAACATTCCATTTCCTATTTCAGCACATGGTGCGACAATAACTATCTCCACCTCAACATCTCCAAAACCAAAGAACTGAATATCAGCCCTCCCAAAATCCTGGCCCCCCTCCCCAGTCTCCATCAATGGGGAGAAGGTGGAGGAGGCGGAGTCTTCCAAATATCTTGGCATCACACTGGACAATAACCTCAGCTTCAATCAGCACACCACGGACATTTAAAAACGCTGCCAACAGAGACTCACGGCTATACGCAAACTCCAACACCTGTCTGTTCAATGATGTTGATGACAATGATGATAAATGGTTTTAAGTTAAACATTTTATGTATTTAAACGATGAATGTGACAATAAGAGCAATTGTGTGTCTGTGAGAACAAGAAAAAATTAAAACTCAATGTATGAAGGCTCTTACATCACAGAAGATGATAGATTTGGCATTAAGGAAGAACAATTTTATTTAACAGAGATCATATTCCAGCATTAGGACAGCAGAACAAAGGTGGGGCTGTGAAATGGTTAAAAAAAAGCCATATGAGATTTACTGCAGGCACAACTATGTACACAACTCTTCAAGTTGTGGTTGGACACACTGGAGGAGCTGGTGGAGAGATGCACACTGAAGATGTTCAAGGCCATCATGAGTAACCCAGTTCATCCACTCCATAACACCTTGATGGAACAAAAAAACAGCGGTGGACGGCTCCTCTCTCTTCGATGCAGGACAGAGATACAGAAGATCCTACATACCTACAGCCATCACGCTTTTTAATTCTTTTGCAAATAATAAATGAGCTGACAGACAATTGAATAAAGTTATTCTTATTGTTATTATTCTTATCTTATCTGCCGTTCACATCTTTAGTGAAGGACCCAGTGATGGTCTGAGATGCCTGGTTGAGGAATAGCATCAGTCAGCATTATAACAGCTCTGAGATGTATTCCAGAGGTTCAACAAACTCTCAGTCTAACAATGAACTCTGAATATGGGAAACTGAGTATTCAGTTCTAGAACAGCTGATCTGAATTGGTTGAATAAACTCTGAATATGTTAACCTTTGTATACCCCGATTCACCATAGCAACACCAGATAAACAAAGAGCAACTTATCTCACGCTAGTGGAACACAAGCTCCTTTTACACGCTTACAGAGAATATGAGCACATATTCTGTAAAATCAGTAACACTACTGTAGTACCTGGTACTACGATTACTCTTAAAAGTGCCTGACAACCACCTCCTGTTGAGGGGCAGGAGGGACCCTTAAACCTTTAATATTTGATCAGTGTAGTGTTAGACCCACTCTGACTTCCCCGAACAGGAACAATTTAAAAAAGAGTCGTATCTGGTGTAAAAGTAAGTTGGCTTTATTACAAGGAAATTGATTTGCAGTGGATTGGCTGGATCCTATTTCCTGCTTGTGGAATAATCCATTGCAGAGTGAACCGGGCAATGTCATGGATAATCTACAGGCATCTTCATCTATTGCTAAAAAAAAATAAACTTTATGTACATGTTGTTAGTCCAGGAGTGTGGCAGATGATTTGTTTCACATAAAGATACAGTTTTGTTTAATTGGAGTGTAGTGTACAGGAGATGAAAGTAGGTGCTAATGTAAAGGCAGCATAAATGCATATTAACTGCAACAACACCTTGTTATTATTACAGAGAATGAGGGAGAAATTGAGACAGAATCTGAAAATGATAGGGAAGTACCAGGAGGCAGTATGCAGATAGAGGATTAAGGAGAGGTCAGTTGACTTCCAGGGTCCAGTCAGTCAGGGGCTGCCACTGAAGAAGCCACTTTGACAGTGGAAGGTGATCCAGGGACCAGTGTGCTAGGGGCTAGTCATGACAGGGCGAGTGTGGAGGACCTAAGGAAGCAACTTAGGATGGAGACACTCCTATGAAACAGAGCAGAGAGGGATCTTTCACAACAAAAGAGAATAAATTTGGGATTAAGAAAGAAGTACAATTTAAAAAAAAGTGACTCAGCAAAGGGTGGTCACTTTGTTCCCATCCCTGGAGCTGGAAAAGGCATAGCTTTAGGAACAGCAAACCCTGCAAGAAGAAAACATGACACACATACACAACTAAGAAAATGAACAGCCACAAAATAATTTGCTGCTCATGTAATTTTTAGCTACCTCACTTGTGGAGTCTTTTGACAGCAGAAACTTCACAGGGCTCTTTCAGGATCACCTAAAAGACACAATTTAAAATGATTAAACTCAACGTTCCATATAAACATGTAACATTTTTAAATCAGAGATAAATAATATCATTAATTCAGTGGTAACAGGTGTTGTGATATACTCCCGTAGTGTTTAAACCACTGTGCAATGTTTTGGTCTTTTAGGTATTTGATAAAGGCTCATTTTTTTCATTTTCACTTTTTTGAACAGTCTCGCAAATAGTGACTCTGCAAGATGCCCAGTTTTTATAAAATTTTATTTTGTGACTAAAAACTCATGACACATTGTCTGAAGATGTGAAAGGCTGTCAGACTTAAGTCTTTCAGAAGTTTTTCCAAAGTATTCTAGTGTATGATAGACCTTAATCACTTACGAACCAGCATAGATTCTTTTAAATACATGAAAATGCATCACATTTTACTTATCACCAACAATGAAACTTTATGATGAAGCATGTACTGTTATACATAGATTAATATGTAAGTCACTTTACACATACAATCAAAACTTATGATACTACATGGACTGTTAGCCTATAACATTCTATGACTCCTTACTATAGTTGATTATTAAAGTGTGTATGGTATGTTTGAATATTCATAATGCATCATAAGCCCCATCAGTCAACCTCTAGTTTATAACTAGTGGAGCATCCACAAGACAGTTATAAATCATTATAAGTCACATCTATAATATTTTATGACTGATGATATAATGCATCAGTAAGCAATATGTGTGTTTATGAGTGCAGTCATTCAGCATTATAAATGCATTGTAATTCATTATGAATGGCCTTATAATGCATTATAGATGTGGTCTTCGTAGAAAGTGTTACCCTTAATTCTATCTAGGTCACTCATGAGAACACAAGCAGTGACTGATGAGATTTAATACGCTTTTCATTTTCTGATCCATTAATCATGTTGACACCTCAGATTAATCGTGTTCAGTCACCTGGCCTGCTACCATTTTAGGAGCGAGGCCTTTGGTGATATGGTGCAATTGCTTTTGCTTGAAGGTGCAGTTTTCACCCTCCTGAAGTCCTTTTGCTCACACACACAGTATAACCCTAATAAAACAAAACCATTTTGTGAAAACATGCAGTCACATTAATCCACTGGGAGTTTCCTGAAGCAGACTGTGCAGGCTACAGGCACAGAATGGATGAGGATAAACCAACAAACTAACAAGCACCATCTTTGGGGGCTCTCTAAAGTGACAAAAGATGTCTAATAGGAGCATGGGGAATTCTTAAATTCTAATGCCAACATTCTCTAATGAACAGTTTGAGTTATGCAAGTCTGACCTTTCTTCCCTCTTTTCCTGTCTCAGCTGAATCCGGCAGGCCTGCTGACTATGCCCCGGAGCCCCACCTCCAGTGAGGATGAGATGGCCCAGAGCTTTTCCGACTACTCCGACGACTGTGCCTCCGACAGCTCCCGTGAAGAGACCATTTATGAGACCATAAGGGCCACGGCCGAGCCATCGCAGAACCGCATGGACGACATTCACACAAACTCGCTGGTCATCCGTGTTCTCATTCCTGACCTGCAGCAGACGGTGAGGCTCTGTGAAGGACAGAAATGTGGAGGGCAGTCATAATAACGTGTGTCAGTGTGCAACTGTGTGGGAGTCAGTATTAAATATAAACTAGATTTGTTCTCAGTATTGACATCTCAGTATTGATCATCCAGCCTTCTTGTTGAGATCCCCTGGAAAATTAATGATGATGTATTTGACACCTTATAGTCTTAATAACAGTCGAAGAACGTTTTTTGGAAGGTGGTACAGATTAAACTCTTTTTTTTTTCATAATTATTTTCATTGAATGAGTGAGGGTGTGCATCCAATACATTCCATGTTTCAATGTTAACTTATCATCATCTTATCTTATCTTAAGCAACTATACAGTCACTTGCGATCGTCATTACAGATAACACTTCATTCCTACTCATATACATACATATACTCATATACATATTTATCGGACACCCACACTCACCCACACAGCCACAGACATACAGACACACAAACTCATAGACACAAAGACACGCAAGGGCAACGAACAGGACAGAACTGACACCAGACACAGGGTTCCCTTGATTCATTCAGGCTGGATGTAGTGATCCTGCAGCCTCCCTCAATCTACATAGCTTCATAAATTGAGCTCCATATTTTGTTAAATTGTTTCTCTCTGTTACTGTCCTCCAACATTGTCGTCTCAATGCTCAGATAATATCTCATTAATGCTTCCCATTTTTGAAATGTAGGTACTTCCTTATTTTTCCAATTTTGCAGTATAAGCTTTGTATAAACTAATGATGAAAAATTAATTTGCCAGCCAGTTGGATACCTTACTTTCTCCACCTTTTGGAAGATACAAATCTTTGGTGAAAATACAACTTTGGTGTTACAAGTTATAATAATGGTATATAATAATATAATGGTTCCAAACACTGGTCTCCTGGGGAAAGTCTGCAGGGAAATTTCTGTGTTTGTGACCCACCTACCACCCCCACCTACCTCCTTACAGGGACCGCTTCCGTCTTTACTCCCATCAGCTCATTGGTCATGTGATTGCAGCCCTCCAAGATACGTGGGTTACACACAAATTAACAATTAAAAATAAAAACAAAATTAATTGAATATCCATTATTCTATGATACCCTGAAATCTATTGTGTCAATATGAACGCAATACCTTCAGAAGGCCTTGAGGGAATTTCTTCAAATTTGGCACAATGTCCACTTTGGCTCAAGGATGAACTGATTAGAATGTGATCAAAGGTCTAGGTTACTGTGACTTTGCATTCATCTCATTGTCATGAACGTGATATCTCAAGAAGACTGTGAGAGAGCTTCCTCAAATTTGGCTCAAACGTCCACTTGGACTCAACAATAAATCGTTCAGAATTTGGTCAAGGTAAAGGTCAAGGTAACTGTGATCTTGCATCCATCTTATTCTTATGAACACAATATCTCAAAAAGGTCTTAAGAGAATTTCCTCAAATTTGGCACAAACGTCCACTTGAACACAAGACTGAACTGATTAGAATTTGGTGGTCAAAGATCAAAGGTCAAGGTCACTGTGACCTCACAAAAAATGTTTTTAGCCGTAACTCAAGAATTCATACACTAATTAGTACAAAAAATGTCACGTAAATGTCTAATATGTTATAATAATGAAGTAATGACATTTTATATCTAAAAAGTCAAAGATAAACATCACTGTGTTCTTCAAAAACACTTATTTGGCCATTGCTCTACATCATAACTCAGGAACAGAAGGGGAGACATTTGGTCAAATACGGAATTGGTGACACTAATCTTGGGTTGATAGAGGCAACCAACCACATGGCACCCCACGAACTACATTATGTACTTAACTTGAAGTCATGGATGGTAGCTTTAGGCAGGTAAAGTTACCGTGGTTAGGTTTAGATTAAGGAAAAGAAATATGGTAAGGACGTACCTTAACACCAGTTAAGGTTAAAGGGAATTTTCTGTGTTTTGTGAGCCCAACCTGCCTCCTTACTGGAACTGCTCAGGACTGCTTCCCTCTTCACTCTCATAAGCACATTGGTCACATAATGGCAGCCTTCCAAAATACATGGGCTATGCATAAAATTACAGGCTTATGATGACATGGTATATGTAAAAATTTTGGTGCATTACATTACTTAGGAAAATGTATGAGCAGTGCATGAAAACATGCTGAACAGGACCTAAAGTTATCAAGATGACATTTGCTTTTCTGACACATCCTTACCACTTCCATTCATGCATAAATAATGTGATTTAGCTTTTAAGCATATGGATGCTTTCAGACAAGGCAGACATGAATATTAATTACCTGCCTCTGAAACATGCTGGAAGCTGCCTGTGATTTTATAGGCTTCCTACAAAAATCTTTCACTTATTTGTATTTCAATGTAAAGCATTTGACTTGAGTGAGCTCTGACCAACATTCATATGCATGTCCCAAATAACATGCAGTGGTGAGTTAATGTTGAGTGGGCAGCATGTAGGGCGTTGATATATGAACTTGTGCATAGGTGAGGCTGTGTTTGAAATGGGGGAGGTTGTATTACTGAGAGTCTTTATTCGGGGAAATGCCTGATAGTAAATAACTGTAGGGTAGGATCTTGTGGATCTTGCAAATGAATGAAGACAGGGAAAGCTACGTGTGTAGGCTGATCATTGTTCAGTATTGAGTAATGATGGTTCCCACCCTTTTGCTCAGTAAAATATATCTCTGGCCTTCAGACCACTAAAGCTGGCTATGCAGTGTGATATTTGGTGCAGATAATAACAGGTTAGAGGATACAAACACGTGGACACTTAGAGGAAAAAGGGAATTACTGATGAAACATGTTATAATTGTTCCCAAGTTTTCCATTAGTATGTAAATGAATGTCAGGTAGATGAATAACAGAAAGCAAACGATGCATAATGAGGGATATCTTTATGCCTAGACCTCATACCTACACAAAGTGTGTGGCTGAAAGACAGCAATGCTACCAGATTTCTATTATGTTTGCCCACAGATTATGAAATACAGCGTGTGAATGCAAAGAGCTTTGGTATTTATAACTTTAAAGCAAAAGTCTTATATTTTGGGAAATTCACTTTCTGCTAAGAAGTTAGATGAAAAGACTGATGCCACTCTCATATTTGTCTGTTAAATACAGTGTAAGGCTACAGGCAGCAGCCAGTTAGCTTGTTGGAAGACTGAAACAGGGAGAAACAGCTGTCCTGCCTCTGTCCAATAGTTAATTAGCTTAATTAACATGCTATAACACATTGTGTCTCTGTTTTTGCACAAGTCATAAACAAGTGAGCAGCTTGCCATACAGTGTTGCAAGGTGTGATGGGCCTCTGATTCTGAAGGGAGGTTTTCCCCATTCTGCATTCCTATTTCAAGTTTTTCTTAAAGCTACTGTATATGCTTAATGTTACTGAACATAAAACAGGAAACTCTCCTAGATAATGTACCAGTCCTATAGATTTATGTTATAGCCATTCTTTTTAACTACGCCAACTTGTTTTCTGAACTGACAACAGTCTAAAATAAAAAGAGGCAAGCTAAAATGACATGTCTAAATTAAGAATAAAATCAAAGTGAATTGAACATCCATTCTTCTACAATATTTTATCTGCTTCAAACCCTGATATCTATTGTATCATGCCTGACATGTATTTGTGGACAACATAGCTTTAATATTAGAGTTTGTAAATCTTTTATATGTTTTGTTATTCCTCCGCGCTGGCAATAGCCTTGGCCAGAGGAATTACATTTTCATGTTTTTTTCTATTCCTATTCTCATGAAAGAGATATCAAAAACGCCTTAAGGTAATTTCCTCAAATTTGGCACACACGTCCACTTTGAGTCAAGGATGAACTGATCAGAATATGGTTGTCACAAGCCATTGTGACCTAGCGTTCCTCTCATTCTTGTAAACGCAGTATCTCAAGACGACCTTGAGGGAGTCTCCAAATTTGGCACTGTAGGGATTCACAGGACCACAGATGATTTGTCGTTTGTTAAAATCTAAACTGGACATGTGAAGGTTTTTCTTCTCTGCATGCTCTTTTTTCTTCAAACAAAGACAGCTATTTGACACTCATCTCCACCTCACACCTCAGCAAGACACAAGTCTCAAAACTTGATTGGACAGGACCTTTACAGTGACATGTGACTCTGTGATGTCACAGGCATCTGTAGAAGGTCTGCTTCAGACAATTTTTCTCTTACTCGGGAGCTGCCAAGCTGCCCACACCTCTTCTGGCCTGGACCAGCCCAGATGCTCAGACCCTTGCTCCATTGCCCCAAACCACTAAAGGGAGGGCAATTGCTCACAGACTCTCTTTTTCCTGGACCACAATTTGCCCATGCTCAAGGCACAGGCAAACCTGAACCAGAAAGTTAGATTTTCAAGCACAAGGTTTACAACTAGCTTTCTAGCAACAAGGAGAACCAAGGGAGTTAGCACCCAGCATCTAACTCTGTAAAGACCTCGAGCGACCAGCTTCTTCAGAGTTCCACCTTTGGAACAAAGGACACACCAAAGACTGCATATGGAACCACAGCTCTTTCCAGCCTTCTTCCGCCAGCTAACAAAGCAGCACACCACCAACATATAACAACCAACATGTAACATAACAACTGAATTCAAATAAACACAAGAAGTTTGTGCTCTAAAAGAAAAAAAAAAAAAAAAAAAAAAAAAAAGGATCAGCACTCAGTGAATAACCTCCTAAGCCCAAGGCAAGGCTTAACTATACAGACCAGTGAGCAGTGATAACTAACATGTCTTTGGGGTCATCGGGTGGGAACCTCCTTTCACCGCTATTTCGTCTAGTTGGTCCCACGACACCTCCAGGAGGCTAGACAGTGATCTCTGGCGTCCCAGAGACACTCCCCTAATGCCAGGTCTCACTGCTCCCCACACTAACCGAACAACCTCCTTTACCTTACCTATACTACCACAGAGGAGGTAGACCCAGGGAAGGAAGCCTTGTTAGGCTATCACACTCCCCCGCCGGGTTAGGCTGTACAG